AGACCATAGAAGAATTGATGCTTTTGAGTTGTGGTGTTGGAGGAGAATATTGAAAGTGCCATGGACTGCCAAAAGAACCAATATATCCGTTTTGGAAGAAGTACAGCCAGAGTGCTCCTTGGAGGCCAGGATGGCCAAACTTCATCTCTCACACTTTGGACATATTGTCAGGAGGGACCCGTCGCTGGAGAAGGATATCATGTTTGGTAAGGTGGAGGGTCAGAGAAAATGAAGAAGATCTCCAGCAAGATGGATTGGCAAAGTGGCAGCATTGATGGGCTCAACCATGGCAACGATAGTGAGGTTGGCCCAGGATCAGGCAGTGTTTCGTTCTGCTGTGCATAGGGTCGTTATGAGATGGTACTGACTCAATGGCACCTAACAACAACAACCATGGAGAAATATTGTTTTACTCATTCTCTGTTTTTCACTTAATTTGACAGGTGAAAGACTTTATTAGTATATCATATTAGTATAAGAACTGTCAGTGGAAGTTGTCATTTAAAAGGAAAACTGTATCTAAGAGAGACTATGAACAATGATGCTATCAACCTTTTACAGGTTTTATACCTAGCCAGAAATCATCCTCAATATCTGAAGTTTGCCTCTGCCTCTTCCTATAATTTTATTACTTGTTATGCACCAGCATTAAAGATAATAAAATTTCTTTTTTGGTGTAAAAAATATATATAACAAGCACAAACTATCACATACACACACAGATACATATACACCTGTACCTTTATCTCATCTTATTTTCTTCTTGGTATTTACTATATTTATGTGCATATATATATAACCTACTGCCATTAAGTCAACTCTGACTCATAACAATCCTATGTAGACTTTCCAAGACTGTAAGTCTGTACAGGAACAGACAATTTCATCTTTCTCCTATGGAGTGACTGGTGGGTTTGAACTGCCGACCTTGCAGTTAGCAGCCCAACACCAGTAGGGCTCCTTGTGTGTGTTGTGTGTATAGGAGCCCTGCTGGTGTACTAGGTTATGCGTTGGGCTGCTAACCTCAAGGTTAATAGTTTGAACCCACTAGTTACTCTGTGGGAGAAAGATAAGGCCATCTACTCACCTAAAGATTTACATCCTCAGAAACCCAGAGTTCTTCTTTGTCCTATAGGGTTTCTATGACTTGGAATCAATTCAATGGCAGTGGGTGAGTTGGTTTTTTATATATAAATATGAAGGAGCTTCAAAAAAAATCATGAAAAATGGGATAAAAACATAATGGGATTTTTCCATTAACTTTTTAAAGCCCCTATGAATATAAGCACATATTTGTGTCTATTTGTTGTCTATCTACCCCCTTCTTACTGAGATATAAGCTTGATATAAGGAGGGATTTAATCTCTTTTGTTCACCTCTCCATCCTCAGGGTCTAGACCATAGGAATTCAGTAAATATTTGACAAATGAATAATGAAGACTTCAAAACTGGAATTCAAGCAGGCCAACTCTGGAGACCAAGCTCTTAACCAGGATGCTCTACCTACTCTCTTCCTAGAGAGCAGATTCCCATGTAGGGAGGGAAGGCTTAGCTCAGGTGAGTTCTTCTAAGGCACTCCAGTATCAAAGTGAGTTTCCATGAGAGCTCCAGTAAAATGGATCAAACTGCTTGCTCCGTTTCTGTCTGAAACTTACCTTAATAGCGATGTTTAAAGAGGTTTTGTAAGGCTTGAAATCTGAGGAGAGTGTAACAACACGAAACTTCACTTCTTGCTTTGGCTTGTACAGGGGCTTATCTGTTTGAATGAAGACAGATATTCTCTTGGTCTCAAATGATAAGATCGTACTATTAGAGAATAAAATCTTATCCTCGGAATGACCAGTGACACGTAGCTCATAAATTTCATTGGCACTGTTCAGAGGTAGCTAGGAAAGAAAAAAAAAAAAAAGAAGAAGAAGATCAGACATATCAAAGTCTCATTATTGTAGGTCAAAAATATTTTTCTTGTAAGTTTTAATGTTGTTGTTAGGTGCCATCGAGTTGATACCGACTCATAGCGACCTTATGCACAGCAGAATGAAACACTGCCCGATCCTGGGCCAACCTCACTATCGTTGCCACGCTTAGTTAGAATAAAAAACTTAAATACGTAGCATTATCAAAAGTAATCAAAATGCTGAAAATTTTACTACTCATAGGTAATTACAAAGTTTATTAATTTGTTTTTCCTCATTTAACATCCTAGAGTTTGCTCTCCAATTAAAATTCTAAGTTCCTGGAACTCATGGAACATACCCCACAGTTCTCTCTCAGCAGTAGCAATTGTGGTTTCTCACTGCAATGCAAATCCCTCCATACTAATAGTTACTGTGGGAGTCCTAGTGTGCTTTGTGGGCTAATGTGCTGGGCTGCAAAGTTAGTTTGAACCGCAAGGGTCAAGCTCACCAGTCACTCCTCGGAAACCCTATTCAGGGTCACTATGGCTTAGAACCGACTCAAAGGCACTTAACAACAATAGTTACTGTGGGTCTGTATAGAAACCCCTTATTTGAAGTAGCAAACAGCAAAAGGCGCAGCTCCCTCCACAAGATTTATTTTCTTCCTATATTCTCTCAATCCTTTTATCACTAAGATGCTTTCTCTTTTTAACTTGCTTATCCCATATGTTATAGTTTTAGTAAAGGGTAGTGCTGCTACTTTTACTACTGCTGTTAATAACAGAACTCCTACCGTCTAGCTTTATTGGAGTCCTAGTGTAGCACTGTGGGCTAATGTGCTAGACTGCAAAGTAGGTTTGATCCAAAAGGTCAACGGTTCAAACTCACCAGCCACTCCTTGGAAAAACCTATACAGGGTCAGTAAGGGTCAGAACAGACTCAACAGCACTTAACAACAACAACCTTCTAGCATTATTAAAATATGTGTTAATTCCAACTCATAGCAACCCTGTATAGGGTTTCCAAAGAGTGGCTAGTGGGTTTGAACCTAGTGGTTAGCAGTCCAGTGCTTATCCTACAGCACCACATGAAGTAGTTTTGAAATAGGTACACAAATTCTCTGACTCTTTCCTGTTCTAAAGGTGACATTGTAATTTGCTGGAGGAATTTTGCAGTTCCCATAGCTGGAGACATGTCTAGCAGCAAGACAAGGGTCTAGGAGTCCACCATCTGAGCGGCTTTAATCAATGAAATATCAAGCAATCTCTGAATTGGACATTGTTGTTTCTCGGTTATGCAGAAAGCATATTCTGTGTGTGGACATGGGTAAAAATAGATACTAGTTCTCTGCCCAGGATACATGGGGAAGGCATTCTCAAAATGGTCCGTAGACAATAAGTGGATTACTAATTTTAACTGTGTTGTCTAAAGCCATGCTACCCTTTTAAACTTAAAGATTAATTACCTTAAAGAAACTGAGACAGTGCAGTAGTAATTATCCTAATTTATGTGGCTAATAGTTCCAGTTACTAAAAATAATGGACACATAATTCCAAAATAAACTTCAGAAATTTAAGACAATACAATCTATGGAAGATATACTAGAAATTGTACTTAAACTTCAAAAGTATTTCTGATTCAAGGGAGAGTGGAAGGGTCAGCATTTCTGATTCAATAAAACTACTCTCACGCAATTTTACAGCTTTAGTTATAAAATTCTTAGAAAAATAAGGAGACATCATTTTCAGGCCTTGCTTTTAACAATGAATTATCAAATATAATAACAAAAGCACAAACAGAAAAACACAAAGTGAATAAATGGGACCTCATAAAAATTTTAAACTTTTGCTCATCAACAGGATGGTAACTGTTGTTGTTAAGTGCAGTCGAGTCGGTTCTGATTCATAGCAACCCTGTGTACGATTTCCAAGGAGCAACCGGTAGGTTTGAACCGACATCCTTGCAGTAAACACTCTAGTGTTTATCCTATAGTAGCACACCAGGGTAGTAGAAGGCAGGAAGGGACTAGAAAGAAGGATGAATGGACACAGGAAATCCAGGAAGAAAATGGGGAAAGTGCTGTTACATTGAGGGAATTTCAACTAACGTTAAGACACAAAATGCATATAAGTTGTTAAAAAGACAACTAATTTTCTCTGTAAACTTTCAACCAATTTACTATTAAAAACAATTTTTTTAAAGACTTTACCAAACCATAATAAAAAGAAGAGTTTTAAGACTTTACCAAAAAAGTAAAAAGACAAGCTACCAACTCTGAGAAAATCTTTAGAAACTATATATCCAACAAGAATCTAATAACCAAAAAGCAAAATATAAACTTCAACACTACAATAAAAATACAAATAACTCAGTCATAAAATGGGCAAAGGACTTCAATAGACACTTCACCAGAGGACATTCAAATGGACACCCAATATTTGAAAAAATGTTCAATGTCATTACCTGTCAAGAAATGCAAATCAAAACCATGACAAGATACTGACTAATGTTAATGATTTTGGTTTGGTATTGGATAGCTATGATAAAAATTAAAATTAAAAACAGAAAAATAACCAGTGTTATTCTCCACGAAGATGTGGGGAAATTAGAACCCTTATGCATTGCTGGTGGAAATGCAAAATGGTGCAGTCATTGTGGAAAATAGTGTGGTGCTTTCTCAAAAAACTAAAAATAGAACTACCATATTATCCAGCAATTCTATTCATAAGTATATACCAAAAACCAGACTTGTACACCAATGTTCATTGCAGTACTATTCACAATAGCCAAAAGGGGGAAACAACCTATACATCTATCAATAGATAAATGGATAAACAAAAGGTGGTACATACATACAATGGAATACTTCTCAACCAGTAGGAGAAATGTGAAGTCCTGATACATGATACACTATGGATAGAACTGGAAGACATTATGCCAAGTAGAGTAAGTCAATCACAAAAGAACAAATATTGTATAACCTCATTTACATAAATGTATAGAAAAAGGAAAGGTAAATGTATAGAAAACAAAGTTCATTAGTGGCAAAAAGAAAGAGTAAAAGGGAATTAATACTGATGAGAAAATTGCACTGATTAAGGGTAAAATTGCATAGCTCATTATTGAACTCAATGACAAAAAAATTGTATACCTGTAAAAAGCTGAAATGGAAAGTTATGTGATAGCCATATTTAGAATGACAATAAAAAAGAGAGAGAGTAGCTGCTCAGGCTGTTATGTGCAACCAAAATCTTGTAAGCAGTCATTTAAGGCACAACAATTGGTCTCTATTCACCTGGAACAACAGCAGAAGAGAGTCAGGAAAAGGAGAAGGATGTAGACTGTGTGACTACTTGAATACATTAAAACTGCCTCCTTTGCCATGAGACCAAAAAAACTAGATGGTGTCCAGCTACCACTACTGAACATCTGATCAGAGATTCCAGAGATGAATTCTTACCAAAAGGGGGGAAACTGTGACAGAATCTCACATTCTCACGGAATCCAGACTTTCTGAAGCCAATTGGATTAAACAATTGCTCTGAAATATTTAAATTTAAAACCTTAAATCAAAAATATTTTCCTGATTTTAAACCATTCAGTAGCCCCGTGTTTTATTCGAGTCAATGCATCTTGGTTTATGGTTCCTCATGAGCACAGTTATAGGATACCAAGTTTTGCAATGTTATCCATTGTCTGTCAAGATCTAAACCGTTGAACGCCTTTGCATAGTCAATACAGCACAAGTAAACATCTTCCTGGTATTCTCTGCTTTCAGCCAAGATCTAACTGATGTCAACTATAATATTCCTAGTTCAACGTCCTCCTCTCAATTGCTGTTAAGTTTGAGCTGTTAAATTGTGCCAATCCATCTCATCACTGACCTCCCACTTTACCAAGTACGATGTCCTTCTCCAGGGACTGGTCCCTCCTAATAATATTCCTAAAGTCTGAGAGACAAATTCTCACCATGCTGGCTTCTAAACTACATTCTGGCAGTACTTCTTCCAACACAGATTTGCTTGTTCTTCTGGCAGTCAATGGTACTTTTAATATTCTCCTCAAACAACATAACTCAAATGCATCAATTCTTCTACTGTCTTCCTGATTCACTGTCCAACTTTCACATGCATAAGAGGCTATTGGAAATACCATGGTTTGGGTCCAGTGCACCTTAGTCCTCAAACTGACATCTTTGCTCTTGACCACTACAAAGAAGTTTTATGCAGCAGATCTGCCTAATGCAACATGTCGTTTGATGTCTTGACTGCTACTTCCATGAGGCTGATACTGGATCCAAGCAACATGAAGTCTTTGACAACTTTTTTGCCCATTGTTGTTGTTATTAAGTGCCCTTGAGTCATTTCCAACTCATAGTGACCCGGTGTAGTATTTCCGAGGAGTGACTGGTGAGCTTGAACCACTGACCTTACAGTTCAAACTGACCTTGCAGTCCAGCGCACTAACCCACAGCACCATATTGAAGCCAAGTGCTGAATTTTTTCTTCACTTCTTTCACCTTGAGAAACGTTAAGCCTGTTCTTCTCTTTGGGTATCTTTTCACGTTTCATTATAATACACCAGGTCTTTGCACACTTCACTGTAATACTTGATTTTGTCTTCTCAAGGTGCCCTTTGAAATCTTCTGTTCAGCTCTTTTACCTCCTCATTTCTTCCATTTGCTTTAGCGTCTCTTCGCTCAAAAGCAAGTTTCAGCATCTCTTCTGACATACATTTTGGTCTTTTCTTTCTTTCCTGTGTTTTAAGAGCTATCAATACAGAGTCAAATTGATAACAGTCACTGAAAAGATTAGAGAAAAAAGCTTAAGGGATGGTGACCTTTTCTAAGTAACAACAGAAAAGGAGGGTGCGAATGGGTCCACAACTTGAAGAGTATAATCAATGTCATGAAACAGTACATGTAAAAACTGTTGGGGGAAAAACTCCGCTAATTTTAAGTTGGATTTCTTTACAAAAATAATTTTTTAAGAAATGTTCTAACATATTTTATATAAAAATAGAATCTCTATATATTAAGTATCAATTATGTTTTTCTTTATTACGGAAGGCTGATTTTAGTGTAACAAAAATAGAAACAATATAAATCTGGAATTAAAAACTCATTTTAAAGCAATCATAAAATATTCATATTTTACAGCAAAAGAGCCACTAATGTCTTAAAGAATAATTTAAACTATTAATTTATAAACATCAGAATGCAAGTGTACTTTGGAAGTTTGTTGTTGTTGTTGACAGCCGTCAAGTTAGTTCTGACTCAAAGCAACCCTGTATAGGGTTTCAAAGTTAGGGGTATTTTAATCTTAAAATGCAGACTCTTCTGTTTTTGCCAAGAAATATCAAGTTTTTCCCAGACCATTTATGTCTGGAAAAAGTCTTTTGAATTTTGTTTTACTAAAATGGGATATATTCCGAATATGTTGTTGTTAATTGCTGTCAAGTCAGTTCTGACCCACAGCAACCCAAGCAGCTGGCGAACCTGAACTGCCAATCTTATGGTTCAAATCAACTTTGCAGTCCAGCGCATTAACCTGCAGTGCCACATCAAGACTCCACTCCATTCTAAATATAATCTCTAGTAAAATTTTCATTGAATAATCACTCTATTTGACTTGGTGGCACCTAACGACAGCTTACAATAGAAAAAAGACAAATATAGGATATTGGGGACTCCTGGTGTGGTGCTACAGGATCAGCACTGGACTTCGAACCACAGTTTTTCCTCGGAAAACCTATACAGGGTGGCTATGAACCAACTGGATGGCACTTGACAATAGGGTATGGAGTTGCTAGTCCTTATATTTAAGATGTAAAAGAATTATAATAAAAACAAAAAATAAATAAAAATATCAAAATTATCTATAAAGGCAGGATCAGTATTACTGATTTTGTCTCTTATCTCAGGCTCCAAATGACTCTGCATGGCACTAACTTCTTCAGGACAAAGAAACTGAGCAACTGAAAATTAATTACATGCTCAAGACTGTATGGCTCAATCTGTACCAACTGTCCAGGACAATTTCCCTCTATTTTACAGAGGAAATCCATGCTATGAGTTTGAAGAACCTGGGTAGCTCATATGGTTACATTCTCAACTATGAGTCGATAAATTGGTGGTTTGAACCTACCCAGAGGCCCTTGGGAAGTCAAGCTAGCAATCTGCTTCCAAAAAGTCACAGCCTTGAAACCCCTTGTTATTCATGGGGTGACCATGAGTAAGAATGTACTGGATAGCAAGTGGTAACAAGAACCCGTTTACCTGAAGTGTAATCTGAAGGTTGAAGTGAACTCAAACTCAATGCAACAAGAAATTCAAATTGACATTAAAGTCAACAACATATTAATTTAATTCACTCCTTAATGCAATTATATTCTGAAACAAAATTTTTAAAACAGGTACTTACGGATGGAAGAACAAGTGTCTTGAAAGAACCTGAAAGGAAAACAAGAAAAATAGGTTTATCACGATTTAATATAGTGGTATAATGCAAAACATGCAAGCTTTGTTAATAATCTTTCAATGTAGATAAAACTGTACACTTATTTTGTCAAACCAGAAGAATTTTAGTAAGGCTCAAAATGCCCAAGAGATTATTACATATCCATGTATCATAGAATACAAAAAATCTGGGCCAGGCTTAAAAGAAGATCAGTTGGTGAACCCAAAAAAAACTTAGTAAGTTCTGCTTTTACTTTTACATCTTTTTTTTTTTTTTTTTTTAACCTCTTTTGTTGCCATTGTTGCTGTTGCTACTGTTGCTGTTTTGAGGTTAAATGCAGGTGATGGACAGAGGAACCCTGAGATTTACTTCGTGTGTTACCATATCCTCATGATAAAGAAAAAAGAGGAAGGAATTAGTCATGTCAGGAGACTCCGAAGTGACTGATGAGTACATCAGGGTAATGAAGACTCTTTTCATGGAAGTTTATAAGCAGCACTGCCAAATTAACTCATGCTGATTTCTTATCAGATGTACTTATAATTTAAGGGGGAAAATGGCAACAAGGTAAATATAAATCCATATCTATCCAATGTTTCCATCTAAGTGATATGAATTCAGAGGTAGTGATATGCCCTTGTTCATTTAGATATATTTATTAAAGGATTCTCATGGAATCCAAACTTTTCCAGAGCCATGAAGACTATATGAACTATTCTGCCCTAAGATCATTAAAAGTTAAATAAAAAATATCCCCTGAATTTTTCTTTCAACCAAACAAGAATTTAGCTTAGCTAAGCTCCAGCATTCTGCTGTTTTAAGAACTGTCTACATGGGATCAAAATGACAACAGCAACTTGAGGGCCTAGATGGGAAATTTAGGGGCAGTGAATTTATTGGTGGGGGAGGAACCATTCAGCAAAGGACAGAGTGAGAATGCACAAAGTGAAGAATGCAATCTATGTCATTAAATTGTACATGGAGAAATTGTTCGTTTGGTGTATGTACATTCTCAATAACAACAACAGAAGTCAAAGTTTTTTGTTTTGTTTTGTTTGTTAAGTATATTAAGGGTATGACAATGAACAAGGCATGGTCTCTCTCCTCTTGGAGTCCATATAAGTCTCTCGTATGGGAGCAAAGAGACACCGGAGAATGGTACAGTTCAGAGCAGGGGTTAAAGGAGTGGTCACTGAAACCAGACCATTAATTAGTTCTATACTGACTCGGCCATGTAGCAGCTCTGTTCTTGAATACGTGACCTGATTCTTCAGGCTCATTTCTCTCATCCTTACAATAAGGATACTAATATTCTCACCAATCTCGTAGTTGTGAGGAGTAAGAGTGCAAATACCTATACAGTGTAGAGAACCATACCTGGCATATAAAAAGCCCTTATTATATGTTAATCATTATGGTGCCAGAAAACATGAAGGATTATTCTTTGGGGATTTCAGTACACCTCTAGAGCAGTAGTCTTCGTATTTTTATAATGGCACACCTCATCAATACACATTACCAATGTCAAATTAAATTTGTCGTATTAGATACATGTCCATTTCCCAACTCAACTATTAAATTTTGTTGTTGTTGTTGTCGTTGTTGAGTTGGTCCTCACTCATAGCAACTTGGAAACTTGTGTAGGGTTTCCAAGGAGCAGCTGGTGGGTTTGAACCGTTGACGTTGCATTTAGTAGTCCACTGTTTATCCTACAACTCCATGCAGAAAAGTTAATTTCTTAGTTTTGCTTAATAAAAATAGTAGATATAAAAGTAAATTTCAAAACGTTAGTACATTTCCTACCAACACCCTTGTAACTGATCTCGCACATTCCCAGATGTGTGCGCACCCACTTTGAAGACCACTGCCTGAGTCAGCTTTAGTGCAATGCTGTTTCAAGGAGCAGATAAGAATTCACTATCACTAAACACATAGCACAGATAAATTTATCCAATAAATGTCACCTTGTGCAATGGTTAACAGACTTAATCTCTAACCAAAAGGCGTCAGGTTCAAGCCCACCCAGAGGAGCCTCAAAGAAAGTCTTGACCATCTACTTCTGAAATATTACTTATTGAAAACCCAAAGGAACAAAGTTCTATTCTAACACAATGGATTGTCATAAGTCAATTCTGAGTCAACAGCATTTGTTTGTCACCATACAAAGGAAAGAGCAGGGCTCTTAAATAACAGGGCACTGGAAATCTGGTAGGAGCCCTGGAGGCACCGTGGCTAAGCAAACTCAAATGCTAACCAAAGGATTCATGGTTCGAACCCACCAGTCACTCTGAAGGAAAAAGATGTGGCAGAGTATCCTCCCATAAATATTTACAGCCTTGGAAACCTTGTGGGGCAGTTCTACTCTGTTCTATAGGGTCGCTATAAGATAGCATCAACCCTAGGGTAATGGGTTTGGTTTGAGTATGGTGGTCCTGGTAGAGCCGTAGTTAAGCACTTGAGTCTACCCAAAAGGTTGTCAGTTCAAACCTACTAGCCTCTCTTCAGGAAAAAGATGTAACAATTGGCTTCCATAAAGATTAACAGCCACTCTGTCTTATAGAGAGGCTATGAGTTGGAATTGACTAAAGGGCAAAAGATTTTGGGGTTTGGGTTTTTGGGGTTTTTTGGTGGGTTGTTTTTTTTGTTTTTGTTTTTGTTTTTTTTTTTTTGAGGGAGGGAGGGGCAGCAGGGGACGGCAAAAAGGTGCTTTAAAGGGGGGTAATAAATAACTACAATTGAATATATAATTATAGTTCAGTATGGAAGGTTACAAATGAAGTAAGACAGGAAGCATATAGGAAGGACACCCAGCCCAGACTAACCTGAAATCTGGATCAGGGGAAAGTATCCAGGGAAAATTATGCCAGCAGCTAAGCTTGTAAGGTATGAAGGAATTACTCAACTGAGGAAAGAGGAGAAGAGTGTCCAGGCAGGGGAGCAGCAAATGCAAAGGAGTGGAGGGAGGTCAAAGCGAGTCTATCAAATTTGGAAAGCTTGCAGAGTCCAATGCGACAAGAAAGACCACAGGCAGGGAGAGGGAGCAGGTAATAAGAAAGGAAGTTGAGCCAGGTGACGAAGTCTTTAGACAGGACAAGCATTCACTAGGCTCATCCTAGATTATACCTGTGCATCCTGATTTAGCATTTATCCTGAATCAGTTTTTGTTTGTTGGGTTTAGCTAGGAAATTATCATTGATGGGTTTAATATCTAGTAAGATTCTGCTTTGAAGTTCTTTAATTATACCTTGGTAATATCTCAATGTATGATATTCCTGTATAGCAAAATTTTCTCTGATCTTACAGGTAACTCAGCATACATGGAGAAAGTATTTGCTCTATTAAATATATTATAGTCAGACAATTTGAACATTAAAATAAAAATGGCAATAATGGAATCTAACCTACTGAATAAAACAAGATTCTGTGAATTCTTGCTGCTGTAATAATTAAATGAGCATATGGGGAGAAGAAAAAGTTACCATTTACAATAGAATACTGACTAATAGAAAGAGACAGAATTATAGCAATAGAAAATTTCACAACCATCATGGTTGTGATTGGTTCAGACAATAGTCATCAATGGATTATAAAATTAGTCTGAAAAAGCTGGGTGAGTAAGAAGTATGAGAAATAATAAACCATTGTTGTATGCTATCAAATTTTGGGGTGGCTTATTTCACAACAACAGGTAACATTTGAAAACATTTGAAATGAAAACGTTTAACCAGAAAAACTTTATAGTTGCCCTACACAATAATATCTAAATATATGTGGAGTCCTGATGTAGAACTGTGGGTTACTGTGTTGGACTGCAAAATCGACTTAAACCGCAAGGTCAGCAGTTCAAGCTCACCAGCCACTCCTCAGAAACCCTATCCAGGGTTGCTATAGGTCAGAACCGACTTGAGGGCACTTAACAACAATAACAATTAATATGCTACTAACTCAAATTGAGATGTGCTAAAATTATAAAATATACCCCAGACTTCTAAGACTTCATATTTACAAAAGAGAACATAAAATATCTCAGTAATACTTTTTACAGTATTTACATTTTGAAATTACAATATTTAGAATGTATTAGATTAAATAAAATAATTATTCAAATCAACTTTTTTATGTGGCTACTAGAAACTTTTAAACTATGCATGTGTTTGCATTATATTTCTATTAAACACAGCACTAGCCATGAAAATGGAAGAGTTACATGTTTGCCTGTTGTTGTTGTTAAGTGTCATGGAGTCAGTTCCAACTCATACTGATCCTGTACAGGGTTTCTGAGGAGTGAATGGTGAATTTGAACTGCTAACCTTGCTGCTATCAGTCTAGTACTTATCCTACAGCACCACACCAGGATCCCCACATTCTTGCTTATTGTTGTTAAGTGCCTTCAAGTTGATTCCAATCCATAGCAATCCTGTATAGGGTTTCCAAGGAGCAGCTTGTGAGCTTGAACCACCCCAGGACTTCACATTTTTGCTTAGAAGCAATAAAATGACCAACAAATTTGACTGTAATAGTTTTCTTAATTTTGTAAATAAAATTATAAGGTAAGCTACTGAATATTCTAAAAGAGATGCAGAAATATATATAAACTCATTTAATACTTATGGCAATGTTAGGAAATACTGTTATCTTTATTTTATAAATGAGCTCAATGAGTCACAGAAAGGTTAAGTTATTTGCCCAGGATCATACAGAAAAGAAGTAGTAAAGCCAAGGTTTTAATGCAAGCAAGCTCAGGTCTGAGATCCAAACCACTATATTGTTTTTGGTAAGTGCTGTCGAGTTTGTTCCAATTCGTAGCAATCCTGTGCACAACAGAAGCCCAGTCCTGACCCATTCTCATAACTGTTACTCTTGAGCCCAATCCTGTTGCCACTGTACCAATCCATCTTGTTGAAAGTCTTCCTCTTTTTCAGTGACCTTCCAAAGTATAAGAGACGAAGTATCACCATCCTGACTTCTAAGGAGCATTCTGGCTATGCTTCTT